AAGGAGTATGAGATTCAAAGCAATTAGGTATACTACAGATGATAAAGTCAAGTCTGAGGTCAAATTTCGTGATTCTTTTTTTTTAATGCTGACTTCGTCACTTTTTATTTTAAGCTCTCTTAAATCTGGATGCAGTGGCTCTGCCTGTAGTAGTCCCAGCACTTTTGAGGAGTCCAAGATAGTAACAGCACTTGAGGCCAGGATTGAAACTAGCCTGGGCAACGTAGCATGACCCAGTCTCAACAAAAAAAAATTTTTAATGAGCCAGGCATCTTGGCATGGACCCTGTAGTCCTAGCTGCTCGGGAAGCTGAGGTAGGAGGATCCCTTGAGCCCAGGAGTTCAAGGTTGCTGTGATGGTGCTACTGCACTCCAGCCTGGGCAACAGAATGAGACCCTGTCTCAAAAAAAAAAAAAAAAAAAAAAGAATCTGCCTCATGGATATGTTGGTAAAATTAAGTTTGGTGCATGACATGTAAGTATTCAACAAATGTTAATTGTTATGATTATTTTTCTTTCTTTTTTCACCAGCCCTTATTATTATAAAGTAAGCTTTGGGAGGAAGGACCCCTGTTATGCTTCATAGGAAAATTATAACCATTCATCCAAGTGTGTTTAGCACATTGTGCTTATCTTGAGGAACAGTGGGAATAAGAGAAACCTGCTGTCACGGAGTTTACAGGCCAGGAGAATGCAGACATTTATAGATTTTTTTAAAACCCTACTTATAATAAGTTGTATAGCATTACTCAAAGGGGGAAATTACAAGACATCAACCTAAGGTGAATATATACCAAGAGAACCCAATAATACCTAATGGGTTGTTAAAACCTCTTTGAAACCTGGAAGCTGAGTACAAGTTAGCAAGGAGATGTCAGCAGTAAATTTTATTAGGTAAAAAGAAAAGAATTTCACATCCCACAAGGTCAAAGGGACTGGGCACTTTTGAAGAACAGAGGAAAGGTCAGTGAAGAACAGGAAAGAGAGAAGGGCCTAGATAGGAATGACATGAAATGAGTCTGTAGAGGAAAACAGAAACCAGATCAGGTAGCCTTCTTAAGCTACATAAAGGATTTTGGGGCCGGGCGCGGTGGCTCAAGACTGTAATCCCAGCACTTTGGGAGGCCGAGGCGGGTGGATCACAAGGTCAAGAGATCGAGACCATCCTGGTCAACAAGGTGAAACCCCGTCTCTACTAAAAATACAAAAAATCAGCTGGGCATGGTGGCGCGTGCCTGTAATCCCAGCTACTCAGGAGGCTGAGGCAGGAGAATTGCCTGAACCCAGGAGGCGGAGGTTGCGGTGAGCCGAGATCCCGCCATTGAACCCCAGCCTGGGTAAAATGAGGGAAACCCCCTCTCAAAAAAAAAAAAAAAAAAAGGATTTTGGATTTTTATCCTAAACTCAATGAGAAACTATTTTTGAAGGGTTTTGGTGGGTAGAAGCAGTGTACCTGAGCTATCAGATTTGCCTACTTTTTAAAGGCCTTTGTGGGCCATACAAAACCATTGTAGCTTTTAAAAAAGAAAAATGGAAAAAACAAAAATATCTGTCTAGCCCATTCTTTCACCTGAGTAAATCCCAACACTGTAACCAGTTGGTGTACATCCTTTCAGATTTTTCCCTAGAAATATACAAACATGAATTTAAAAATACGTGTGTGTGGGTGGGGGGGTAATTTATTTTGGTTAATTTTTTTTGTTTTGAGACAGAGTCTCACTCTGTTGCGCAGGCTGGAGTGCAGTGGTACAATCCTTGGCTCATTGCAGCCTTGAGCTCTTGGGCTCAAGGGATCCTTCTGTCTCAGTCTCCCCAGTAACTGGGACTACAGGCACATGCTACCATGCCTGGCTAATTTTTAAATTTTTTGTAGGATAGGGTCTTGCTATTAATAGTTGACCAGGCTGGTTTTGACCTCCTAGTCTCAAGTGATCCTCTCACCTTGGTGTGATTACAGATATGAGCCGCCATGTCCATCTCATAATTTGTTTAAGTAACAGAAAATGAGATTATACCACATGTACACACCTAGTGTTATAAATACTGTGTTGCAAGTTTTATGTTTTTGGACTTTTTCTGTCAGTTCTCAGAGTTTTCTTGTGTTTTGATCCTTATGGTATTCCATTTCATGGGTTTTTTTTAATCCTCTCTTGGTGAACTTTTGGTTTCTCTCTCATAAGTTACTATTAAAAACAAAGCTGCATTTGTGAAAGGATGTTAATGTCTCATTAGGAAGATGCAAGTTAAAACCACAGTGAGATATATCATGACATACTTACTAGGATGGCTAAAATTAAATAGACAACATTAACCATAGTATTGGTGAAAATGTGGAGGAACTAGAACCTTCAAACACTGTTGGGGCTGTAAAATGGTGCAATCATTTTGAAAAAAGTTCAGCAGTTTCTTTAAAAGTTAAATGTGTATTTGTCATAATGTGAAGTCATTTTGCTTTTATTTATTTGCCAAAAGAAAACTGGAAATATTCTATACAAAGATTTGTACTCAAATGTTTATAGCAGCTTTATTTGTAGTAAGGCAAAAACTGGAAACAACCCAAATATCCACCTGCAGATAAATGGATAAACAAATTATGTGTTCATATAATAGAATATTAACAGTGAAAAGGAATGCACTTAATCGAACAGTGTGGATAAATGTCAGAATAATCATGCTGAGTGAAAAAAATCAGATGAAAAAAGTATATAGTATATACTTCAAATTATATAGAACTCTAGGGGAAAAAAACCTAAAGCTGAAGAAAACAGATGAGTGGTTGGTTGAGGACAGGTTGTTTAAGAGAGGGATTGATTACCATGGGGCATGAGGAATCTTGGGAATGATAGATAAGATCTGTTTACTATTCTTGATTTTGGTTTCCCAGTTGTATACCATGTGAAAATACTTCAGACTTTCACATTAAATCCTACACTTTGAGTATGTTTAGTTTATTGGATGTCATTTAAACCTTAATGTCATTTGTAAAAAGCTGCATTGAGGCACGATGTGTGTGTGATTTTAAACACACGTATTTCTGTAAGCTAAGTTGGTAGAAGTGTCATTACTGTGCCAAAAGTGATTATACATTTAAATTTCACATAGCTATTGACAGATTGTTCTACAAAAAAAATTATGCCAGCTTATATATTTGAAAATGCCCATTTTTGCACTATCTTCCCAATACGAGTAATCATTCTTCCATCTTTTCCAATCTGATGGATTAAAATGACATTATTGTTAATTTTATTTTCATTTCTTTGATTAGTGAAATTGGTTTTCTTACATTCATTGATTATTTTTATTTCTTCTGTAAATTATCTTTGTTTTTTGTGAAATGTCTTTGCTCGTTTTCCCATTGGACTGTGGGTTTTTGTTTTTTTTTTATTGAAATTATAAAATATCTGTCATATTCCATGCACTTATTCAGGGATGCTCACAAAACATTGCTTTAATGAGTCAATGAATTAATACCTTTCCAGTTAGACTTTTAACTTTATATATGGAGACTCTCTATTCATGTCTAGTGAAACCCAGGGGTGAATGCTTCAGTTAGTACCTCCCTGTTGGAGGCTATAATGACAGGGATGCCCTTTAATGTACTTCCTTTTTGCCTCTTCCTGACCTGTCTGTTCTCTAACCTTAGAGTTACTAGCAAGAGATACAAATTGCAAGTGAGGAGTATAAAAAGGAAATGGAAATGGGTAACATGGCATTTTCATGTCTGTTTTGAATCATCTTCCCCCTTCTTTGTTTTTAGGTGGGATGCAGCCCCATTTTCATCTCTGGCCCACATTAGGTACTCCCTCATAACAGATCTTCCAGTTGACTTGAGTTGCAGCTAGGGATTCACCTGTAGTTACAGCTTTACAAGTGCATCCTTGGCCAACAGCTATGACCGCAGGGTAACACAACTGCTACTGTCCTTTAATTTTCCTTCTAACTAACCCACTGCCTACCCTCACCTTCAGCCTTTCATGCCTTTGGCATGGGTTTTGTTTTGTTTGTAATCCCAGTACTTTGGGAGGCAAAGGAGTTCAGATTGCTTGAGTTCAGGAGTTGGACACCAACCTGGGCAATGTGGCAAAATCTCATCTCTACAAAAATTAGCCAGGCATGGTGACTCATGCTTGTAGTCCTAGTTACTCAGGAGGCTGAGTTGGGGGACATGGCTTGAGCTCAGGAGGTAGAGGTTACAGTGAGTCCAGATGATGCCACTGTTACTCCAGCCTGGACAGCAGCTCCAGACCCTGTCTCAAAATTAAAAATAACAATATGACCATTTCTTATATGAAATAGTATAAGATTTAAGGTAATATTAATAAGTAATATCTTTTTACTCTTTCTTATGTATTCTCTCGTTTAATCATCACAATTCTACAATGTAGGTGGCATGTTTTAAAGATAGGATTTAACTGACGTTCAGGTTGAAAACCGGCCCAGAATTGTAGTTCTGGGTCTTGTGGCTTTATTTTACTGCCTCTGAGTAAGGAAAGGGCTCATACATACTGTTAACTGTGCCCTTTTGTATGTAGTAAGGGGCCTTATTTGTCAAGCTAAGGGCTTTCTGTGGGCTATAAGAATTTTTCTGAGCTTTAGAGTTGGGTACTAATATGCTGACATTTCTATTTAAGTGAATAATTGTGGACATTGAAATGGAGGGATACTGGGGACAAGAATACTGATAAATAGGTCCTGCAGCAATTTTGAGAAACCGCAGAAGTGTCAGAGTGTGTCAGCTATTTTCATAATAGAACATATAGGATTTAGTAGATCATTATGTTTTGCTCTGAGCACCTAGCTGTTTGTTGAATAATACAGTTTTATCTACATAAACTATACTGTGTAGGTCCTCAGGGGAGCCTAAGGAAGCAGTAATTAAACTTAGCTTGATATTGGGTAATCCGTTAGGTTATTAATAAACTGAATATAAGCATTGACACAAAGTTAATAACTTATCTGCTTTAATCAAAGCAAATTTGTCTTTATCTTCTTTCTCTTCAGTTGGAAGATGCTGGCTCAAGTAGTTTAGATAATCTACTAAGTAGATACATCTCAGGCAGTCACCTACCCCCACAGCCTACAAGCACCATGAATCCTTCCCCAGGACCCTCTGCCCTTTCTCCAGGATCATCAGGTAAAGCAAACAGGGGTATTACCTTATTTTTTTTTTAACACCTTAAAAAGAGTCTCAGTATCTTAGTCAGAATTCTCCAGAAAAACAGAATAAGTAGGAGTTCTACATGGAGAGAGAAAGGGAGATTAGAGATTTATTGTAAGGAATTGGCCCACGTCATTGTGGGTGTTGACAGGGCAGGTCAGGCAGGCTGGAGACCAGGTAAGAATATTGTTATGGTCTCGAGACAAAATTTCTTCTTTGGGGCATGAGGTGGGGGAGAGAACAGGGCTCCGTCTTCTCTTCTCTCTTAAAAGGGCTTCACCTGGTTGTGTGAGGCCCACCTGCATTATGGAAGATAACTCCTTTTCTCAAAGTCTAATGATTTAAATGTTAATCTCATCTAAAAATGCCTTCACAATACCATCTATGCTGTTTGGCCAAATAGTTGAGTGTCGTATCCTAACCAAGTTGACGTAGTAACAGATATTTTTTTTCTTGATCTTTGTAATTATTTTTGCTCGAATACTGTTGGTACTCTTTTGCCAGCTGAAGCTATATTAATATATATCTGTAGTTCAGAACTCCAAAGTACTCAACCTTTACTATATTCACAGTCTTTGGTGGGTTTAATCTTATATTTTATAATACAAAGGGTCAGTTGAAGAGTTCTTTGGTTTCAAGTCAACTTTAAAACACTTTGTAAAATAATGAAACATTCAAAAATGATTTTAAAAAGCTGAAGAAGGGCAGGTTAAGTTTCAAACTGTAATTTTAAAATAAAAATTTGCTGAGAACTATTAAAATAGCCATGATATGTAACTCTCTTCCAAAATCCTAGTGGTTTTATTAACCATATTACTCAGCGATTTAATTGGGACTCTTGAATGCATGATTGAAGCAACTCCAAACAGGTTAACAGTCTAGAAGTGTTACTGAATGTATTTTTCTGATGTGAATTAAATGTTACTTATTTCTTACTGAAACAAACCACCTACTTATTTCTAGAGGAAGAACAGTTCAAATGTAAATGTCTTTTTTCCATGAGCTGCAACATTAACATATTTTTAAATCACATAATTTTTAAGATTTATTAAGAATTATTTCAGGACTTCTGAAAATAATTGATGGGAACTTAAGTAGAATATACTATCAGATAACTTGTTGGGGGATGGCAGATCATGTTTTCTTGGTCTGTTTTGTTGACTGGATAGTGGTACTCTGAGGAGGATTCTGAGGTGATGTCTGGGCATAGCAGAGAGAAACTGGTTGCTATTTGCTAATGGTTAACATGCACCCATCCCTGACTTTGTGAGTAGGTCTGATTTCCAGGAATTTTTTAGCTGGGTTATAATAGTCTTGAGTTCTGTAACCAATAGGTAGAATTCCAAATATTCTATATGCATTGATACTCATTTTCACTTACTGCTTTGTAGGTTTATCCAATTCTCACACACCTGTGAGACCCCCTAGTACATCTAGTACCGGCAGTCGAGGCAGGTGAGTATTATGTTATGAATAATTTATTTTTTTCCTTTTTGTTAAGAATATCAAATATATATAGTAAAAGTTTAATATTACAATGAACCCCTGTATACTTATCACCTAGTTTTAATAGTGATCAAATAATGGCCAATCCTATTTCTTCTGTACTTCTACCAATTCCCTCCTGGTCTGAATTATTTTGAAACAAATCTCAGTCTTTTCACTTGTAACTGTTTCAGTATACATCACTTAATGAAAAGAATTTTAACAATTTATAACCACAGAACCATTATCACACCTAAAACAATTTAACAGCTCATTCTTTAATATCAGTAGAGATCCAGTGAATGTTTAATGTTCCCAATTTTTGCAACAAATGCCTTTTTAAAAAAAAAAACAGTTTCTTTGAATCAGTTACAGTTAAGCTCTATACGTTGCCATCAGTTTGTTTACATCATTATCAATTTATTTGTTGTAAAAATGTCATTTCTCCTATAGTGTTTTCCTAGTTTCTCCATCTTGTCATTTAAGTACACTGCCTCCTGTTTTTTGTCTATGTTGTTATTTAGGTCAAAAGGGTCGGTCAGATTTAGGTTTGATTTGGGGGAAGGGAGGGCAAGAAGACGTGGTAATGTATACTTCCATCAGGGACGAATTACGCCTGCTTGGGGTTTTTTTGTGATAGCAATTGTTAATAATTATTGTTTAGCTCTATTATTTTTCTGCTGGTTGAAATACGATATTTTAATTATTGTATCATTATTTCTTTAGAATACTTGTGTAAAGAGAAACTTTCTGTCATCAACTATTGGGTTATAGGAAAGATAGGATAAATTCTTTCTGTTTATTTCCCTGCTTTCAGGGTAATGAATTTATTTCCAACAGCCTCCAACAGTGACAGTTTTATTATTATTACCTTTATGGACTCATCTATTTAAACATACTTTATATGTTTTAATCCATTATGTATGTTATTTATGTATTGAATGCTTAAATTATTCCATCTTTGGCCTGTCAGAGCTTTTTCAGTTTTGCTCCTTAGTCATTTTGCTTTAATCACTGCAGTCTTTGAAAGCTTTCGTGGTTCATTTTGTACATTTCTTGCTTCAGACCTTGAATCAGCCACTTTCCCAGAAAATTCTGGTAATGTTAATAGGAAAGCAGGAAAATAGCGTTTGAGAATAATATTCTCGTGCCAGTAGCACTCATTGCTCCTGAATTGTTCATTGTTTCTTAGGCCTTTTCAGGGGTTAGAGCTAAGAAATAGGAATATGTATATGTGTGAGTGTTAAGATATAAGTGCGTCAAACCATAAAATGTGTTTTAGGGTATTCTGAAAGTTTGCTGCATAATTTTAAAGAGTTTGAAGCTAGGCTTTATACCACATTTCCCTTAACTACATTATGAGGTATACTTGTCTTTTATGAAGTTAGTCATCTATTGTCTTTACTTTAGTGAACATTACTTTTCATGTAATTGTTTTTATTTATACCATATCATCAAATGTATGTGATCTTTATTTGTTGTGTCTTATTAGCTGTGGGTCATCAGGAAGAACTGCTGAGAAGACAAGTCTTAGTTTCAAATCTGATCAAGTGAAGGTCAAGCAAGAACCTGGGACTGAAGATGAAATATGTAGCTTTTCAGGAGGTGTGAAACAAGAGAAAACAGAGGATGGCAGGAGGAGTGCTTGCATGGTAAGCTCCCACTGGGGTCTGACAGGGATTAAGGACGTCACTTCATTGATTCTTTCAGTTCTGAGTATTATATTAAGACTGAGTAGTGGTTCTAGGAACATTTATTTGTTTTTGAAGTTTCATGCCTGGCACAAGCCAGATCCCTTTTTCTAACTCAGCTTTCTTTCAATATTTTTGCCATGATGCTAAATCAGATTGTATCTTCTTCTGAAATTATTATTTCAGTAGTCACATTGAATCTCAGGCCACAAAAGATCTTTGGCATTCTCCTGGACCTGTGAGGTCTGTGTTAAGATTGCTGACACAAAAGAGATTTATTGATAGAGTTTTGTGATAGGAAGATTGTCTTTTGGCTCATGAATTACTAACGATTTTAGAGTTCCTTGAGTGGAACATTTTATAAAATTTATCATATAGAATGAAGGAAGGCTAAGCCCCTCTTGGTTTAGATATTTTTATTTTTGTTTTCTCTTTCTGATCGGGCTTCTTTTTCCTTTTTTATATGGTTGGCACATAGGAATTCATCTGAGGGTATTAGTATATTTAACACAGTGTATGTAGATTCAAAGAGCAAGAGATTCAGCCTTGGGTTAGGAGTACCATTACCCCTTCATCCAGAACTTGGTTTAGAAAGTACCCCCATAAAAAAATGAGTGCAAAGGGTGGCGAACGATTTATTTTACATTGTTGCAATCTTCCTACAATATAGTAAAATGATAGGTCAGCAGAAGAATATTATAGAGTGCTTCTCAAATGCTGTGCAAAAGATTCTGGGTGTGAAAAGGAGTGTGCCATAATTGGCTCTCTCAAGAAAAAGTGTAACCCTGTACTCACTTCCAAATCAGTAGCTTAACAGTTTAATTAATTTACTTATTATCTGAGGGAGACATTATTAGAGGGGCAGACCCCTTAAAATCACGTTAGCATGCCTGACTAATTTTGGGGTTATTGTCATTTCTTTATGGCACTATTGTGATTTATAAAATAAATTTGAATTATGTCAGTATATCTTTATGCATATTCATATAACTTTTAAATGCACATACAGCATTCAATAAAGATTAAATAATTCTTCAAGAATTTGTCATTGTTTTGTTTTAGTTGAGCAGTCCTGAGAGTAGCTTGACACCACCTCTCTCAACCAACCTGCATCTAGAAAGTGAGTTGGATACATTGGCAAGCCTGGAAAACCATGTGAAAACTGAACCTGCAGATATGAATGAAAGCTGCAAACAGTCAGGGCTCAGCAGCCTTGTTAATGGAAAGTCCCCAATTCGAAGCCTAATTCACAGGTCAGCAAGGATTGGAGGAGATGGCAACAGCAAAGATGATGACCCAAATGAAGACTGGTGTGCTGTCTGCCAAAATGGAGGGGATCTCTTGTGCTGCGAAAAATGTCCAAAGGTCTTTCATCTAACTTGTCATGTTCCAACACTACTTAGCTTTCCAAGGTACCAGTGAAATAATTGACTTTTGGTGTTTATTTTCGTAAGCTAAAAAAAAAATAACAAAGTTGTTCAGAGCAGATGGACTTCTAACCTGTGCATAGTATTTCTGTAAAACTGGGAGCCTGTTATTCTTTTGGTATTACCTTCCAGGGAAACTAACAACAGAACAATAAAATATCTAAGATCTAAGTAGTATATCAATGTTAAAGAGTAGATTTCATCTCCTGGCCTTTCATTTATATTCGCATAAGGAAAATAGATGAAATTCTAAATTAATTGGGGGCTAAGGTTACAAAACCTATAGTCTGGTTATAATTCTGTAGTAAGTGTTGGCAATTCACTAATTATCAGGAATCAGTTTTTGCATCTACAAGTGGCAGGTTTTGGTTTAGAAGAGCTGTAGTTCTTCCCTTCCATTTAATATTTTATGTTCGTGCAGTTTCTTGTCTCTGATTTCATAGACCATAAAATAGTAGGATCATGCTGGTTTTTTTCACTCTTCTCCTTTCTCTCTTATCTCCAAATTCCTTTTTAGTGAAAGTAAATCCATATTCTTGGGGGTAAACCCAGCTTTTTTCTTGCTATAAGTTAAAAAAAAAATCTTATCATCTCAAATACCCTTGAAGCAATAACAGTAACTTTAATTGAATAATACTGCCTTCTTTGAAAGAGTCAACCTTTTGGATTAGAAAACTGCTAGATAATTAAACAGTGTCAGAATGTTTTTAGGTCAGAGTTGTAATTTCTTACCTAAGTCTTCAGAGGTGTAGTTATTTGCAAGAGGTTTAATAAGGGCCTTCTTTTTCTTTACTCTTACTTAGAAAAGAAAAGCGTTGGCACTGTGATCTTGAAATTAAGAGTTTTATTTCCTTTGGGTAGTAATATTTACTGGAATGTCAGAATTTTGCCACTGAATGCTTTCTTTCAATGGCATGCTTTGGAAGGACTATAAAATGTTGACACAAATTAGCCAGACACTGTGGCTCACACCTGTAATCCCAGCACTTTGGGAGGTCGAGGCGGGCAGAGCACTTGAGGTCAGGAGTTTGAGACCAGCTGGCCAACATGGTGAAACCCCATCTCTACTAAAAATACCCCCCCAAAAAAAACTTACCTGGGTGTGATAACACATACCTTGTAGTCCCAGTTACTCAGGAGGCTGAGCAAGGAGAATCACTTGAACCTGGGAAGCAAAGGTTACCATGAGCCAAGATTGCACCACTGCACTCCAGCCTACAGTGTGAGACTCCATCTCAAAAAAAGAAAAACAAACAAATAGATTGGTTAGTACAATCCCGAGATTTAGAATCTATGTATATATCTCTCTATATATCTCTTTATATATAGAGGGGGAGTGAATATAAATAAATCATTTTAGATTTCTTAGTTTGATAAGAAATCCTGATAAAAACAAAGTATATACTTGGCAGGGTTAAAAGATAGGAGGTGGCTGGACGCAGTGGCTCACGCCTGTAATCCCAGCACTTTGGGATGCCGAGGCCGGTGGATCTCTTGAGGTCAGGAGTTTAAGACCAGCCTGGCCAATATGGTGAAACCCTGTCTCTACTAAAAATACAGAAATTAGCTGGGCATGGTGGTGGGCACCTGTAATCTCAGCAGTTTGGGAGGCTGAGACAGGCAGATCACCTGAGGTCAGGAGTTACCTGGACAACATGGTGAAAATGCATGTCTACTAATAATACAAAAATTAGCTGGGCATGATGGCAGGCACCTGTAATCCCAGCTACTAGGGTGGCTGAGGCATGAGAATCACTTGAACCCAGGAGGCAGAGGTTGCAGTGAGCCAAGATTGTGCCTCCCTACTTCATCCTGGACAACAGAGTGAAACTGTGTTTCAAAGAAAACAAAAAAAGTAACCATTCATGATGGTGCACACCTGTAATCCCAGCTGCTAGGGAGTCTGAGGCAGAAAAATCACTTGAACCCATGAAGCAGAGGTTGCAGTGAGCTGAGATTGTGCCACTGCACTTCAGCCTGGGCAAGAGGGAGACTCTGTCTCAAAAAAAACAAAGGAGGCATATATACATATGCTTGTGTCTGCAGGTATGTATGTGTGTGTGTGAGGTTTTGACTGACCATGAAAAAATAACTGATTTACTTTTGGCATGTTAACACATGGCAAAACAGTACAAGATACCTGAGAAACTCTGTAACCTTTGCTCTTCTTATATTTATAAACACTGAGTCCACATAATGGTGATACTGGGACCTGAGAGAATTGGTCTTAGGCCTTGTGCTGCAAGTACTGCTCATCAGCTTTTATGCTACTAAGAGACCCCCTTTTAATGCAGAGGTACCATTTTTATAATGTATTCCAGAAAGTAATCAATTGGTTGGTGACTAGGAAAGTTTAGAGGAGTTTTTAATCACATGACTTCACCTGATGACATTTCACAACTATTAAACTTCCCTTTTTCCAGAAAATTATTAAGAAAATAAACTAAGCACTGTGTAAGGAAGTAGCTTCTCTAGAGCAAGATTTCTTATAATTACTTGGACTAATTGCCTATTTCCCTGTTTAGTGGGGACTGGATATGCACATTTTGTAGAGATATTGGAAAGCCAGAAGTTGAATATGATTGTGATAATTTGCAACATAGTAAGAAGGGGAAAACTGCGCAGGGGTTAAGCCCCGTGGACCAAAGGGTAAGTGTCAAATAAGTTGATTTGTTATTGGGATTCAGTAGTTGTCTGCCTAAATATACATCTTTTTTTTTTTTTTTTTTTTTTTCTGTGTAGCCATACACAAAACCTGATATAATTTAATTTTTAATGCTGTCATCTGATAATATATTGATGATTTCTGAAGTCTTTTCTCTAATCCTAAACTATAGACTCTTCTATCCAGATTCCTCAGATTTAACATGTCCCAACTAAAAATCTTAATTTCTAATCCTCTTTCTCAAAACACAAAACCAAGCAAATAACAACATAAAAAACTGTATTCCTCCCCCAGTATCCCCCTTAATTGAATGATACCACCATTTGTTTCTGTTGCTCAGGCTAGAAACCTATTAGGAGTGAAATAATAATAAAATACCATTTTCTTCTCCCCACCATCACCACTCTAGACAGACGTCGTAATTTCTCATTGGACTATTGTAATCATCTCTTAACTGCTCTCTCTGTTTCTGCTCTTGCCCTTTATAGTCTATTTTCTGTATTAAAGAGTGTTCTTTTTTAAAAAGTAAATAAGTCTATCATTTCCTTGCTTAAAATCCTCTAATAGTTTCTCATCATATTAAAAATGGAAACGCTCTCCTTACTTTACTCAGATTTTTACCAATCTGTCCTGTAGTCTCGTTTCCAAAGACAGAATCTTTTGCATTGTTGTGCGGTCATTAGAGTTAAGTTTGGCTCTAGTCTGGTGTATATACTTGCAAAAACCTTCATCTACTCTCTGTAAAGACAAGATACGTGTATAGGATATACAAACTTATATTAAAAGAAGTTTGGGTAAGTGGAAGACTGTGAATCTAAAATGAATGTCAGTTTACTGATGATTGGGTGAAAAAATATTTTTGGAGTTGGATTGAGAAGACCATTTTTATTTTGAACCTGACTAGAGTCATTTGAAGAAAGGGGTTAATAACATTTAACGTTTGTCTTGCCTGCCTAAGGAATCACCATAAGGAGCAAGAGTGATTATTTATTTATTTATTTATTATCAAGTAATTTATAAATTTTTGCACAGATTGCTAGATGTTGCTTTTGTTACTCCCTTCCATAAATTACCTTGGTTATGTCCCATTCTTATTTAAAGTAGAGCAAAAGAGAGTCTGAAAACAAAATGAGATGTTAGGGAGTTTTCTTTGGGTGCTTATGTTTAGTTGAATATCTAGTAAATAGGGGGCTTGTGTTCAGTTTCTTATAATCACACTTTGTTGTGATAAAGTTCTTATTCTCAGGAATGTCTTATTAGGAGAAAAATATTTCATGTGCTTTCTTTTCCTTGTTTGGGCCAGAAATGTGAACGTCTTCTGCTTTACCTCTATTGCCATGAATTAAGTATTGAATTCCAGGAGCCTGTTCCTGCTTCGGTGAGTTGCCTACCTTAGTAGCTCGGTGGGGAAGTCTCATAATACATAAGAGTATGGGCTCTGGCCTTAGATAGCTTGTGTTACATGTCAGCCTTCTGGAATAAGCTCCTCAACCTCTCTAAGGCTCAGTTTCTTTTCTGACACAATTTCTTACCTCACTGGGTTGTTCTGAGGATTATATTAAGATAACCTATGTAAAGTGTTTACCATAGTCTGTAGTCATTGACTTTTGTAGGGAATAAAGGCTCTAAAATGCTACAATAAAAGGAAGATGAGAGGTGTTCAGTGCCTAATAAGTGGGGTAAGAATTATGCTACACACATTTTATTGCTAGCCATCAGTTGTTGAATACTACATTATGGCACACCAGGCCTGTTAGAGAGTATTAAATGGTAGTCAACTTGTTTACTGGGTAGCCAGAGAAATGAATTTTAAATCACAAAAGGCCTAGACAGAAGGAAGGTGTTTTGTACAGGCAGTAATCATCTGTTTCTAGAAAGTTTGTTTCATCTTCAAGTGCAGGGATTTTGAAGTAGAAAATTACTTTCAAATGTTTTCTTTTTATGGACTATTAAAATAGCTTCTCAGCTGGCGGTGGTGGCTCATGCCTGTAATCCCAGCAGTTTGGGAGGCTTAGGCGGGTGGATCACTTGAGGTCAGGAGTTCAAGACTAGCCTGGCCAACATGGTGAAACCCCCCTCTTTACTAAAAATATGAAAGTTAGCCGGGTGTGGTAGCACACACCTATAATCCCAACTACTAGGGAGGCCGAGGCAGGATAATTGCTTGAATGGAGCAGGGGGAGAGGGGGCGGTGAAGGTTGCTGTGAGCCAAAATCATGCTACCGCATGCCAGCCTGAGCGACAAAGCAAGACTCTGTCTCAAAATAAATACATAAAATAAAATAGCTTCTCTAACTTTACTTTTATCCCAAGGGTGGAAATTTTTGGCCAGGGTTGGGACCAGAATTCCCTAGCATGAACACTAAATGGTTAATAAACTTAATAATTTTTTCTTACATTCTAGTAGTCTTGCTTTCTCTGTTACTAAGTCAAGACTTCTCCATGATGTAAATGATATTCTCTGTGATGTCTTCTGAAAGACATCATATTTTAATTGTAATATTAATACATTTTGTAAATTTTTTTCTTTTTTTTAAAAAAGAAAAACTCTTGAGGAGTCATAAAATTCTGATAAGCCAAATGTTGCCTTAAGGCTACTGGTTGGTTACCCTTGCTGATTGCTTTCTTTCCAAATCTTATTATTAAAGGTAGGACTTTGGGGACGGGGACTTGGACTAACCATGGAGAGACTTGGACTAACCATGAAGATTGGCACATATTCTGCATAAGATCTGATTTTCATGAAGACGTAAAGTACATACGTCTATACTCAAAATTTCCAAGCCGCTGGCTCTATAATAAGTGGTTTTTTTCCCCTAAAATTAATATGCTATGCATTTTTAAGCAGTTTGTCAATTTTGGAAAATTCTTATTTTCCATTATTTATTTGCTTATTTTAGATACCAAACTACTATAAAATTATAAAGAAACCAATGGATTTATCCACCGTGAAAAAGAAGCTTCAGAAAAAACATTCCCAACACTACCAAATCCCAGATGACTTTGTGGCCGATGTCCGTTTGATCTTCAAGAACTGTGAAAGGTTTAATGAAGTATGTTAACTTCCAACCTATAGAGTCTTGGTTTGTTAGTTTTTGTTTGTTTCCTTGTTTTGTTTTTTCTGCTGAAAGACTTTAATTTTATTATATTGTTTTTTTCTGCTAAAGACCTGTCAAAAGTAACATCTGATTGTATTAACAGCTCCAGTGAAGAAAATTCATTGTATATAATTTGGAGTATATACTTAAATATAATAAAGAATATTATCAAATATTCTTTTCTAAATGAGTTGAGGATTGGCACAAGTGTGGAAAGTACTGTCAGTAGTTAAGTATGTTTTGTGGGATATGATTATAAACAGCTTACATTTTGGGTACTGTTAGGAAATTATCTGTACCCACATCCTTGCATTTTATTATTGACAACATAAATGTAGAACCTTAAAATAATAAACTGTATCTCTGGTGACCCATCTTGAATAGTAGCCCAGAGTATATAATACTAAGTTTTCTTATTTCAGCAGTGTGACTTTCATTAACTTTGGTTATGTTTTTTGTTTTTTTGGAGTTTTTGTTTTGTTTTGTTTTGAGGGTAAGGTTGAGTTAGCTGTGCCTTGAGAAGAAATGTGATATATACCTCTTTCAGGGAAATTGTTTTTATTATCTTAGGGATAAAATCAATTCTGTTATTGTTATAGAAGATTTTCATTATAGGAGAAGAAAATGAAATTTAATTGGAATCCATAAAATCTTTTAAAGGATTAATACTAAAGTCTCTTTATTGCTGATGTAATTTGGGTGCCATATGATTATTACTAAAATAAATCACATTGAATACTGTAAAGTATTCCCATAGCTGCCTCTGGAAGCATCTAGATGGCATTTTAAAATTAAAAACAAAACAAAATCCTCATAAGGTGAAAATTCTAAGTCACCATTATGGTAGTATGGCACAGAGTATATTAGTAAAATCTCATTAATTTGAAGTTAGAAATGATAGTCCCAAATTTTGTCTTATTTGTCAATGCAGTTAAATTATTTTCATATAAATATGCTTTCATGAACTATAGTTGATAAGACCCATGTTACGTGCCTCAGAAATAATTTATGTTAACATATTGCGGTACAGATAGAATTTTTTAAGTGGTGTATTGAAAGTTTGTCAGTTTTTTAAAGCAACGTTTCTTATATAATTTGCTTCACAAATATTTTTCTCTTCAGTAGATTGATGTATTCAGACCAATTCCTATTCAGATTGACCTTGATCATTCAAATTAAGACAATTATTGAGGTTTCACAGTAGCTTTAGTAACAGGGCTTTGTAAAGAAAATGGTTCCATGTTCTGTAGAATTTTAGAAAAGCGCTTTATTTGGTTGTAGCAATTTGTTCTCCCTAGTATGGCTGACTTTTTGTCGCCAATCCTATACAGTCTCATAACTTTAGAAAGGATTATAATTTCCCTTTTTTTTTTTTGACTCTGGTATCCTTTTTAGATGATGAAAGTTGTTCAAGTTTATGCAGACACACAAGAGATTAATTTGAAGGTAAGCTTTTCAGACCACGCAAACTTGGTGAAGGAATATGCATTACCAATAGGTGAATATTCCTATCTTTTGCTTGCAGGCTGATTCAGAAGTAGCTCAGGCAGGGAAAGCAGTTGCATTGTACTTTGAAGATAAACTCACAGAGATCTACTCAGACAGGACCTTCGCACCTTTACCAGAGTTTGAGCAGGAAGAGGATGATGGTGAGGTAACTGAGGACTCTGATGAAGACTTTATACAGCCCCGCAGAAAACGCCTAAAGTCAGATGAGAGACCAGTACATATAAAGTAAAATGACATGGATTAAAATCAATTGTTTTTAACAAAAAAAAAAGAAATAAAACAGAAAACTTTTAAGTGTTGCTGGAATATCCTGCCTATAGTGGGCACCTCCTTGAAGAAGCTGATAGCTTTTTACACAGTATTAGATTGAAATAATGGACAGAAACACATTCTTGTCAAGAAAGGGGGAGAGAACTCTGTTTGCAACTTTAAAAGCAAAAAGCAAAAGTGAAATGATTCAAGGATTTCTGTTTTAATGAAGATGATTCTCTGATTGTTAGAAATGACACATGTTCCCGGGAGGTGGAGGTTGCAGTGAGCCAAGATCACGCCGCTGCACTCCAGCCTGGCGAAAGAACGAGACTCTGTCTCAAAAAAAAAAAAGAAAGAAATGGCAAATGTTGATGATTGTGTGGTCTTGATTGGTGCAGGATATTTCGTGTACAAGTAAATACTTGAGGCTCATGTCACTTAATAAATTTTCTTTTTGGACTAGGTCACACAGTTATTAAAACAACTTTTAAGCCTCCCCCTTCACACACATACGTATCAGGTTGTTTTCTAGTTAAAAATCCAAGTAGCTCAGATTCTACTTGAATGTCAGTGCAGATGTGCATTGAATCATGCCATTATATTTTTTTCTCATTTCATTGCTGTTGGGTTTTAGTTTTTAAATTGATATAAAGAACTCAGCAGTGGTTTTATGTTCTGCTCATATTTAGGGTTAGGAAACACGACCACTAGTTATCATTTAATCAGCTTCAGTGGTCTACTAAAATAAACATGGTAACTTTTCATTAGTGGATTATTTAGAGTTACAGTAATTGTTTCCAGAAAACACTTCCTCACAACTGCACTTCCCAATCAAATCATGTGATCATACAGTTATTCCCATGAAAGGCAGAATGTTTGTTTCAAAATTAATCTAGTTTTCTGTACATTTAAATTTGATTGAGAAGGTGACAACTGGCCCTTTTCCAGTCTTCCTTCATGTCAGTTTTCTGATAGACCACTATTGGCAAACAGTATCTGTCAACTACCAAATGTGTAAAATTTTCTGTATTTCACTTTGTCTTATTTGTAAATAGTGAACTAAAACTTTTGGCAGATCAGCAACATTTGCTGAGCCTGTTTTTTAAGCTAATGTGTATTCTTAATAATGTTCCTATCAAGAATGGATTTGTAATATATGCTGTCTATTTCTAATGTTCACATTCATATTTTGAGGTTCTATCTTATTTTAATAGAGAACAGACTTCTCAAAAGATCTTCAGAAGCAGCTTATTGAAATATCAAAATATTGAAATAAACCCGGTGGGGTTAGATTACTCATCTGTCCACCAAGTGGGACATTTGCATGGACTAGGGGCTTAAGGACTTAGAAGAGACCTGTAAGTAAATCCTGAAAATGAGCCAATCCCCACTTGAATGGTTACTGGAGTAAACCCACCTTTACAACCCCAATTACAGCACCCGAGGCAGATAAACCAACTTGGCTCTGGTTCATTTTTCTTCTCTTCATCTGTGATGCTCAGATTGAAAATATGTGTTCTACACTGTTACAGGCTTCTCTTTTGTTTGCCTAAAAATTTTAGTCCTACTTTTGTATGGACACATTAGAATATACAGAGACCAAAATAGTAGAAGAATTTGCCATTAGATATTTTTAAGATGTCAGCAGATTTGTGGCAAATGATTTATTTGCCTTTTTAAAAATTCAGTTTAAGCAGTTCAGAGAGTAGACTAAGAAAATTATTTGACATAATTGTCTAAGAGGTCAATATTTTTTAGTGCATATTGAATCAAATAAAGTGCTCTAAAAATTATTATGCAAATTCCTTTGGGTTGTTTTCTTTTCTTAACAAGGGATGGGGGTAAACAGGAATATGATTTAGGGTTTCTGGTTGTGTATTTAAATAGTATTGATTTTATTATTGCTATTGATTTACTTTAATCCTGGCTTTTCACTTTTTTTTTTCAATTTTTAAAAAATAATTTAAACCTTTGAAAATATACCCAACTGTTTAAATGTTTTACTCAAATTTTAAATTCCTAAGAAAATTTTTTTAATAAGAGGGAGAAAATCATTTAAAAATACTTATGCCTATGCCTGTTTCCCTCTTTTTTCACAACATCCATGATTTTAGTTTATAAGTAGACATATCTCCAAGGGCACATTTTTGGAAAGTAAGGAATAGCAGCAGTATAACTTCATTGTGTGAGGCCTTTGAGTTTTAATATTTCATTTTGCTCTTCAAAGGATCCTTTTCAAAAAAAATTTGTAGATAATGAGTCATAAATAGATTCTGCCAACTGTGGGGAGAAACACACTTTAAGTAAATATTTTTTATTATTTGGGGCCTTAAAAAATAATTGTGTTCCTTTTAAAAAAAATTACATGTTAGATGAGTTTTTAGGTTGTTTTTTTTATTATTATTTTAAGATTGGTTAAATCCATTTAAGAACCACTTTTTTGCCAATGTTTAATAGCTTCCATTTCTTTAAAGATAATTTATACTGCTGAGGAATTACTATTAATAGCTATCAACATTGCCACCATTGAATTAAGATATTCACTTTAGATTTTTTTATCAAAGCTTTTTTCTTGCACACTGATCATTGTATTTCTAAGCGATTTTCTTCAGCTCTAACATACCTATGGTTAAAAAGTATAAAAACTTGATATTTAAATATGTATTTCCCTGTTAATTTATATTTTAAAAATACAAAATTGAATATCTGTCAGTCCCTGAGGGCAGTTTGTTTTTATACTCTCTCACATTTGTATTTGTTGTTTAAATGGCAGTATTTTAGAAGATTTGGAGAAAAGACCACATAATAATGTTTTCTTAAAAGCTTTCAGAGTTTTTGCTGTACTTCAGTTTACTTATTCCATCAGAAAAACTAAGAACAAAGTGTTGCTCAGTCTGTTCCACTGACCTAAATTTGTGTTTTCAGCACTTGCCTCAGCTGATTCACTGAGTGAAGGAGTTGCTTTATAAGGCAAAGCGTGTGAAAGTTCTAAAGTATGGTTAGATTGTAGATCGTGCTCTGTATGGAAACATCAAACCATTACTGCAGAGAAATGGTAAGGTATTGGATCCACTATTTAAATTATTATTTTTGGATCAACAAGTTGCTACTTTCTGACTTCTGTATCTTAACATAAGGGAATTTTAGGTAATGCTGATAAGTCAGTTGTCTCATTTTTTGTTGTAACAAGTTTTGGAATTTTTAGTTAATTGAAAGAAATGATTTCAAATAGAAGTAAAAGGTTTATAAGTGTGCAAGTTTTAGATTTATCAATTACCTCAGCAGGTATCCTGCCATGTAATTATTAGTGATTAGTATTAATAAGCTAATAGATTCAGGTCTTCCAACTATGCCCTTGGATTGTGGCCTACCATGCATTATTAAATGGTCTCTTACTATTCAAAACGGGAGTAGATGCTGTGGCCCCATCTCCCTTGGCTTTTACATCCCATTCCCACCCCCATTCATGTACAACATGTGAAATATAAAAATGTCATTTCTTGTCAGTGTCAGCACTGCTTATTTGCATACTCAGCATTGGATCACTGAATAGTTTTATAAAAAATCCACACACCTAACTCCCTTAGTTAAGAAAGATTCTTAATTCATACCATGAATTTTTAATTTCTGTTCCATCTATGTTAGTGATCTGCTGAAGGTGCAAGATTTTCAAGTGTAATACAGTTTGATCATGTACTGGACCTGGATATTTAATTTTTTTTCTCACAGTTATCTCCTCCTTGATAAAGCAATAACACTGCTTTAAGTCTGTTGCCTAATAGCATGTCAGAATCCTCTCCTGGATGGTGGTTTTATAGGAAAGTTTGTATGCATATCACCCAGTCTATCTTTTAAAAATTAAGAAATTTAAATGTATGCTGGAAGTAATGACAATATATTGTGGCATTTTATTTTAAAAATTGGGGAAAGTTGCATATTTTTTTAAAAGTAAGTGTTTGAGTAAAAAAAAAAAATTGAAGGTACTTTTTTAAGGAAAAAAAATTTATATGCCACAGTTTACATAGACATTTCAGATTCAACATGTACTCTTGAATATAATGGTTTCTTTTACTTGGTCAGAATGCATGTATAGCATTTCTTTCATCTTAGTTCCTTGTGTTTGCCTACGTGGTCCTTTATATATTTTTTATTGTATCGGAGAAACAAAACTATCTTCAAAAATAAGTTAATTTGGACATATATGTCATATCAGATTACAAAATGTACAAAATTAAGTTTAGCCCTTTTCTAGAAAGTGATCTTTAAAATTGAAAATGCTCTTCTTTTACATTCACCAAGTTTATATGTGTGGGAAGGCACCGAAATGATTTTGTAAGTGCCACTGTAATATTCCCTTTCAAGTGTGGCCTAAATTTCAATCTTAAGGATAGAATGCATGTCTGCTCCTGGTCTGAAAAATGTAGGTATTTACTACATTTTAAAATCAGTGAAACATATACATAAGCTTATTAAAAAAGATTTGTGCAATTTGAAATCCTGTTAATTTTATATGTAGACATACCTACACACGAAAGGGTTAAATTCACAGCCTTACTAGTTCCTTGCTTCCAGTATTTCAATTGGTCTCCTCCCCTCGTTATTATTACTACTACTACTACTATTTTTGCACATAGTTAACTGCCCTTCAATATGATTCTTAAAAAGTGCTGTTTCTGTGGTATCGTATTCTCTAAATAATCATATTTAATTTTTTAAAACAAGGTTGCAGTTTCTAATTGTTTCGTTCCTGTGTTTTTGCTGATGTGTAATAAAAGCAAGTTTTTTTCTTTTCATGGTTATTTAATACATTAGCTGCCTGTAAATAATTGTTGTTATAATGCTCTGGAATGTGTTGTAGCAGTTGTATTAGATTAGTTTTAAACCCTTGTTTGAAAGCCACATTGTTTTGGTTATTTCTATTAAATTAGAAAATTGAAAAAGTTTTCAAATGAATTTCTTTTTTCTCCCTCTTCTGTGGTTGAAAAGTATAATTTTAAATCACTTTAAAAATGTATACTATGTGCCAAGCCCCAAAGATAACAGTAGTGAACAAGACATAGTCCTTGCCTTCACAGACTTCAGACTCTATGTTAATCAGTGTTATGATAGGGATTAACAGAATATAATTGTAATGCATAGTAAAGGATCTAACTCAAACTTTGTTGCCAGGAAAGCAATTTCATTCACTCATAAAAGGACAGTGGACAAGGCAAAGAGAGAGTGAAAAGAGAATACAATATGCAGAAGACTGTGAGTGAGAAAGAACGTGTATAATTAACTGAAAGTTACTTGTAACAGTGTAAGTTGGAGTGGTAAAATACTAAACTCAAGAATTGAACAGAGTCCTCTTCAAGCAGAGTCTTGTAAGTTATATAAAATGGTTTGGAAATTATACTGAGGCCAACAAGGAGTCCTTGAAGAATTTTAAGCAAGATGGGGACTGGAGGGATGAAATAATCAGATTTGCCTTTTTGAAAGATAATTGTAGCAGTGAAGAATGAGTTGTACAGAGTATTAGAGGCAGAGACCCAATTGTATGCTGTAAGTAATCCAGGCGAGCCCTAAAGTAGCTATCTGGCAGTAGAAGAGAATAGCAGTCAAACTTGAGAGACTGGTTTTTATTCATCACTGAATATGTCTAGCACATGGTGGCCATTTATAAACATCTAAGTTGAACTGCTAGTGTAATGGTGACTAAAACACTGTAAGAGTATGATATTGTCTAGGAAATTTATAGAATGGGAAGAGCAGAATAGTTACAACAGCAAAGGAAACAATATTTAAGAACTAGGGAAAGAAAAAGGATTCCTATGGATTAGTCATACAGGAAGGAGGAAAGCCAGTAGAGGGATGATAGAAGATGAGAAAGAGGTTTCAAAACAGGGTGTGGGGGTGTTGCTGATGTCAAGTGTTGAAGTAAAATAAAGTGGCCATTGAATTTGACAACATAGAAGCCATAGGTGGCCTTGATAAAAGCTGTTCCAGTTTGACCAGCAACAAGTGTACAGGGGTTAAGTGAATGAGACTTGGAAGGAATGATTGAGAACAGACTTTGTTTTTTTT